CAACAGGTACCATATGACCAAGAACCAACGGTACTGAAGGAAGAAGTACAAGCTGCACTGAAATACTGCAAAAAGCAAGGCTACAGGAACTGATGGAATTCCAACTGAAAAGTTTCAACAAACCGATGTAGCACTAGAGACGTTCACTCATCTATACTAAGTAACTTGGAAGACAGGTACCTGGCCAGCAGACTGTAAGAGATCCATATTTGTGCCTATTCCAAAGAGAGATGACCTAACAGAATGCAGAAATCATAAAACAACACTTAATATCACATGCAAATAAAATTTTGCTAAGATAATTCAGAGATGATTTCAGAAGAATATAGATAGGACGATGCCAGAAATTCAAGCTAGATTTCATAAAAGGATATGGAATGTGGAATATCATTACTGACCTCAGATGGATCTTGGCTGAAAGCAAAGAGTACCAGAAAGATGTTTACTTGTGCTTTAATGATGATGAATAGGCTTTTTTGACTGTGTGGATCATAATAAACTATTTATAACATTTTGAAGAATGAACCCTGTACATAGACCAAAACGGCAGTTGTGGAAACAGAATATAAAAAAGTCTGGGTCCAGATTGCTTTACTGTATTTTACCAAACATTCTGAGAAGAGCGGACACCAATTATACTCAAACTATTCTAGAGCATAGAAAAGGATGGGAAACTCCTGAATACATTTTATAAAATAAGTATAACCCTCATACCAAAACCAGGCAAAGATACTAAAAAAGAAAATTATAGACCAGTATCCCTCATGAACATAGATGCAAAAATTTTCAATAAAATCCTAGCCAATAGAATTTAACAATGTATCAAAAAAAATAGTACATCATGACCAAGTAGGATTCATACCAGGGATGCAAGGATGGTTCAATATTAGGAAAATCATGCTCATTATTCACCATATAAATCAAAGAACAAGGGCCATATGAATATATCAATTGATGCAGAAACTCTAACATTCATTCTTGATAAAAACACTCGACAAAGTAGGAATTGAAAGGAAATTCCTGAACATAATTAAGACAATATATACAAATCCAAGAGATAACATTAGTTTCAAAGGAGAGAAAATGAAAGCATTCCCTTTGTGAACAGGAACCAGACAAGGATGCTGTTTATCACCACTCCTATTTAATAATGTGTTGGAAGTCTTAGCCAGAGCTATACGGCAAGATAGGGAAGTTAAAGGCATCCAAATTGGCAAAGAAGAAGTACCTATCTCTTATTTGCAGATTATAAGATATTATACACAGAAAATTCCAAAGACTTAGCACAAAAATTACTGGGAGCCCATTGGAAGATTCAGTAAAGTGGCAGGGTACAAGATCAACATACAAAAATCAGTTGGATTCCTTTACACTAATAATGATAGTGCTGAAAAGAAAATTAGGAAAGCAATACCATTTACAATAACCACTCAAAGGATGAAATATTTAGGAATAAATGTAACCAGAAAAACAAAGGACCTATACAAAGAAAACTACAGAACACTACTACAAGAAACCAAAAGAGACTTATAAAAATGGAAGAATACGCCATGCTCCTGGATAGGAAGACTTAACATTGTGAAAACGTCAATACTGCCCAAAGCAATTTACACAGATAATGCAATCCCAATCCAGATTCCAATGACATTCTTCAGAAAGATGGAAAAAACAATTACAAACTTTATA